TGTGGCTGTGTCAGTATTGCTAGAGAGACCTATTACTTGTTTAAACTTATGCAGATGTTTTAAGCAAGATACCCCAGGACATTTTGAGAGAGAGTGGAAACAAGGGAGAGGAAAATCAAAGAAACACATGTGGAATTTTAATTTAAAGAGCCAGGCTTCCACAGCAAAATCCCTACGTCAAAGAAGAAAACCCTTCTAAATTACTGGTTGGGTAAACTGTAATTAAGATATTACAGTCTTGGTTTGAAAAAACAAATCTCAGTGGCAGTAAATAGATAGGAAAATGTAGTGGGGAGGCAGCTTACTGGCTCAACTTGTAGGTCAGGTAATAGAACCCAGTTCAAAAGTCAGCCTTGGAGCTCTTACTACAAGTTTATTTAGTTTGTCCAATAATAAAAGAGATCAGATTTACGCAAAAGAACCTTGTCTACTACAAGTCTAGCGTTCCTAAGGGGCGACAAATCCATTCTGCAGTATAATAGTTGGAATAATTGGAAACTATAATAGTGCTGCTAATTATTCACACTTCCTTAGTGCTTTCTACCAGAAGTTCTCCAAGCACTTTGCAAATGTTAATTATCCCTCAACAGCAGCAAGAGAGTCAATGCTGAGAGGGGTTAGCTAGTGCAGTGTTTCTCAACCTTTTTAGACTCAAGGCACTCTTCGTTAGATTTAAAATATCCTTGAAGAATGACAGTTTTTAGCTTTCACTTCTTTTTCTGACTACAGAAAAATAATACAACAATTCTGCAGTTGCAGAGAACTTGGAACACAACAGGTCAACATGTTTTCAATGCTGAACTCCTATTTGATCTCTCTGGGTTTATCTTATTAATCATGCTTGCACACATAACAGTACACTTGAAAGGATCTCAAGGCACCCTATGGTGCTATGGCACCCTGGTTGAGAATCACTGAGCTAGTATGTATATCCACCAGTGTTCAGTACTAGGTCCACCCCATATGACTTATCTGTGTCATGTATCGCTTAGGTTTCCTTCTTTTACTCATGGTGGTAGGGCTTTACTTTTGGAGTAGAATGATCTGCACCGGATGGTTTACATTGCTATAAAGCAAGTTTGGTGTGCTACATGGAAATAGCCACAACATTGGAGATGGCTGCAAATGTTACTTTGTTATAATAATGACATTCAGATGGAGGGACTAGATTTTTAAAAAGTGAGATGCTTAAAGTGACAAGAGGACTTCACCAACCACACACTCTCCCTCTCTATCAAAACTGGTAACTTTTACTGATAAAACAGAAATCAGATCAATAGCACACTTGCAGCAACTGTGTATGGCCACTGAATGTTAGCCTTTTCCCCAGTAGAACTTATGAAAGCAGTTTTAGACTTTTTCAGACATATGAGATGAAAAATAAATACAGTAAGGGAAGGCAATCAATTTTTATAAGCCTTAAACTCAACCTTTTTTGAGTTCTGGACCACTGTAGAGGTCTATTTATTTAAATACAAAAGGAGTTAACCCTTCCTTGATTCAAAACCCCACAGGTCTATGAGAGAGTGAGAGAGAGGGGAGGAGGGGAGAAAGTCACAGTAGCTAAAAACTGGGGTTTTGCTGAGGAAATTGAGCCAGAGCTGTGGATTCAAAGTGGAAGTTTGTTGCCAAGCATGGACTTAATTGCCAATGGCAGAACTGGGTTATTTTAGCATAGGATAGCTATAGTGCTGAGCCAGTACTGTAATGTATAGGAACGTGTTATGAGCCACATGTACACTCCATGAATCAATTTGGTGGCAAGGCTGTTGTCCAAACATCAAACTATAAAAAGTGGAATATCTGTAGCAAGTAAATACTGAATACAGGTATTTTCACCAAAATCCAATTCAAAGGCCTGCTCTTCCATTCAGGGGAGAATCAAACAGCTCACATTTTCAATGTTAGCAATAATATTGAGCCACAGGCCAAGAGTTACTCATAAAAATTCTTCCACGAACAAGCTTCAAACAGATTTGAGAAAGCTGGCAGAAAATGACTGCAAATCTTCCTAGGCTAACCGATTCTTTTGTTCGGCTTCTGCAAGCTGAATTACATTCACATTACTAAAATATGTTTAGTACTAAATTCTGCCCTAAATTAAAGAGCCAAAGTTCCTGCAGAAATTACTGTATTGGGGTGGGGAAAAGATTTAGTCTCTTGGTTTTACTAAATTTCATTCTACATTCACTAACATGTGTAAGCTGCTTTTTTTAGAGTGTACACAGGAGGATGTATGATCACCCGTTAATTATCAAGCAACAGGCTTTTGTTTTGTTTTGATCCTGGCAGTTTTACAGGGTGTGTGCGGAGATGGGTGAAGAGGGGGAATACTCTTATTTAGAACAGTTATCTCTTTATTTGAAGCTCAGTGAAAGCCTCTTTTTGATACATTAAATAAATTACTGTTTTACTCTTTCACAGAACAGCAGGCAATCACCAAACAAATGTTTTGGCTTTTACAAGGCCTTTGTGAATACGCTGAAGGGGTAAATTAACACATTGAATAAAAGCCTACTGTTTTTCTACAAAAAGATACCCCCTCACCCCTCATTTGAGATGAATATTAGTGTTTCTGCATGTTCATGGCTACTCCTTTCTAACAGCCCTCTCAGCCGATCATTTTTGCATGAAGATGGCAATGAATCAAATCATGGAAAGGAAATGGGTTAAAGTTCTTGTGATCTGGATGCAAGTCAAGCATGAAACTCAATTTCCTTATGGTGAAATCCTGTAAAGTGTGGGGGTACATCCTTCACTCCCATTGACTTTGTCCATTTAAAATAATACATTAATGGAGAAGGGTCAGGGGTAGGGTATTCAAGCCAATTACACTATCTGAAATCCCTGGCATGTCTGCAATGTTTCCCTCTGGATAGCTCTGTAAACTTCATTTTTGCTGTAGCTATTATCCTTCAACAGGAAGCAGCATGTAGGACAGGCAGAGTTCCCCTTAGGGACCAAATACAATGCTCTATTCCCAGCAACCTTCCAAATATCTTGAGCATGGAAACTTCCAAGGGCGATACACAACATAAGCCTACCTATGACAGAGAAAGCTGGTGCTATAAAATCTGTGCATTAGAAGTATGACTACGTTTCTTCCATCTCCTTGAATCGCTTAAAACAAAAATACCTTCTTTTTAGCTAACCAGACTAAAAGAAAAAATGGTTTTGTAGAGAGCTACTCAAGTAATGTAGAGCAGGGGTCAGCACGGGAGGATCCAGGATTTTATGAAGGTGGCACTGGAACAGCAACCAGCAGCACTACAGGAGAGGCAGCAGCCCCATTCCAGCTCCCATCTCCACCAGGATGAGAAGACTATACCAAGGGAGAAGCAGCTGCAGACTTTAAGTCCCTGAGTCAGGTAATAAGCTCCTACCACCCTCACTCTCAGCTCCCCCTCCACACTCAACAGCACTTCCCTGCCCCCATCCACTTCTGCCCAGTTCCCCTGTGCAGCCCTGGGAGCGGGAGGAGCTGCAGAATCACTCCTGCCCTCCCCCTCGCTGTGCAGCCCAGCTCAAGTGGAGCCAGGCTCAGCTGAGGACAGCAGCAGCAGTGACAACAGGCAGGATCCTCCTCCTTGTGCCTGCTCCCAGGCTGGATGGGAACAACTGAGGGGATTGGGCAGGAAGAAGGTACCCATTCCTCACCACCACTGCATCTAGGGACAGCTGCAGCAGCAGGTGGGAGAAGAGAAAATGAGGAGCGAGGGGCTGCTGAGAACAAAGTGGAAGAGAAGAGAGAAGATAACAAGGATGGGGGAACATGGCATTCTTACCTGATTTGGGGACTTAAAAAAGAAGTCCCCAGATGCTACTCCACAACATGGGAAGAAGGTGACTACACCACAGCATCCCTTTGGATTCACCCCTGGGGGGTCAGCAACCTTTTCTAACAGTGGCCCAGTCTTTTCCACCCAGCCACATCTGCAGGCTTCCAATCCCTTGTTGCCACTTCAGCCATCCCTGCTCCATGCAGAAGGCTGCTCTCTTGCCCCCTAAGGAAGTCGCCCATGAAAAATGAGCAGGGATAGAGAGGCAACAGGGGACTAGTAGACTGTTAGTTAAAAGAAGAATGGGTTTGAAAGGTAGGCGGTAGCAGGGGATCAGCATGTCATGAATAAAATGCGGAACAGATCAGACCTTCTGGCCTGTGGGCTGTAGGTTACTGATCCCTCATCAGGACTGAGGGGTATGGACTGGAGATTTCAAGAAATGCCCAGCACTCACCCTGGAGGCTGGATCCCTGCCTGCTTCCTCTTCCCCTTACAAAAAAATGCAGCGCGCACACGTTGGTGCACACATCTTCAGCACTGGAAAAAGTCAGATTTATAAAATAAAATCTGGAGAATACGGCGCTATTGCAGATGCTGCAAATAAAGAGATCCAGCCCTAAATGCTATATAAATAGACCACATAAGAGGCCTTGCTGCTCAGATTCATGTCCTGTCCTCATCTTCTGGTGCCTGATGTTGTTTTGATGTGGCTGTCATGGAAGAATCTACTGATGTTTTTCACATAGTGCCATCTGGATGCTGCCCCTCAATTGTTGGACACAGCTACAGCTTAAACCACCTTGTATGTGCAGTGTTATGTTTGGAAATAAACAATCCCATGAAAGGACAAGAGTCCTGGTACCTGGACGCAGAGATGCACTTGGAATGTATATGTGGCTGTTCTTCATTGCTATGTTTTGACCTTTTTCAAATGAGTTTAGGACAGGCAGCCAGATGGATATTATAACTCTAGAGACAGAAGACCTCCTGTTAAACCACGGAACAGACACTGCATTGGCAAGGCATTGCAAACTTTCTTGAAGGCACCATAAACACCACAAATCTGTTATGGAGTTACCACCCACTGGGGTCAGAGCCCTGGTTCAGTCCCTACAGCTCATTTAATCTTGTGGCCACTGTGGAGGCTGCAAATAAAGGTGCCTTTTAACGTACATGTCTGTTTGCTAGGATCTGGCCCGAGACCAGCGTAGAACCTACCTGACAGATGAAGCCAGTAGACGAACACTGCCGGACCCACAAGCTGAATTTCCGCTTTTTCCTTTTGCGTAGCTCTCTCTCTGTGCACGTGGCAATGAAAATTGGGTCTTCATCAATCAGTGGCTCATGAAGTACCTGTGAGCAAAATGGGTACATTACTTTTATAAGGAACTGTGCTGCATAAGCTTCTGAATTAATATGATCTGCATTGTGATTGCATTTGCCACTCTACGCGAGAAAAATGCTACTTCGCAGTCCTCTCTAGCTCAAGTCAAAACACACAAAGGGGCCAAAGGGGATGATCTAGTGAGCAACCTGAGGATTGAAGGGAAACTGGACGACAGCAACCATGAGATAACTGCTTTCCCCAATCATCGCATATCAGGGAAATTTGCCAATAAAGTAGAAATCGTTGATTTTGGGAAAGCCGACTTCCATAAGCTTAGGGGACTGGTTGGTGAGGCCCTGTGGGACCATAGTACAATGAGGAAGGGGGTACAAGAAGAGTGGTTGTTCCTCAAGGAAGCAATCCTAAAAGCTCAAAGGAAGTCCACTCCCATTTGTAAAAACAGCAGCAAAAGGGATAAGAAACCCCCTTGGCTCAGAGGAGTCATGGACCTCCTGAAATTAAAACAAGAAGCCTAGGAAGGATTGAAGTCAGGAATAACTACCAAAGAGAAGTACTCAGCAACAGCCCGCACCTGTAGGTAGCAGATCAGGACAGCAAAAGCACAAACTGAATACAGATTGGCAACTGGAATCAAGGACAACAAAAAGTCCTTCTTTAGATATGTAGGAAGTCAGAGAAGAAATAAGGGAACCACAGGGCCCCTAATTAATAAAACGGGATGGCTGTTGCTTGACAGGATACAGGATGATCGTGGTGGGGGTGACCACACCCCCATAGTTGGCATAGATCTTGCAGGGGAGCACCTACAAAGGCTGAATGTCTAAAAGTCAGCAGGACCAGATGAGCTACACCCAATGGGGCTAAAAAAACTGGCTGATGTCATCATGTAACCGATGGCAAAGTTATCTGAAGACTTGTGGCACTTGGGAAATATCCCAGAAGACTGGAAGGTGGCCAATGTGGTACCTAGCTTTAAGAAAGGGAGAAAGGAGGACCCAGGAAATTACAGGTCAGTCAGTTTGACCTCAATCCCTGGTAAAATCCTGGAGAAAATTATCAAAGAATCCATTACAGACAAGCTAGCAGAAGGCAGTATTCTGAAGGAGAGCCAACATGGCTCCATTATGGGCAGGTCATGCCAGACCAACCTCATTTCCTTCTATGATCAGGTTACTCACCACCTGGATGGGGGAAATTATATTGATGTTATATACCTGGACTTCAAAAAGGCCTTTCACCTGGTCTCTCATGAAGTCCTCATGAAAAAATTGGAAAAATGTGGCCTGGACTACTTTATGGCTCAGTGGCTAGGTAACTGCTCTGTGGTAGGACCCAGAGTGTACTGATTCATGAAACTGAGTCATCATGGTAGAAGGTGACCAGTGGTGTCCCTCAGGGTTCAGCACTCGGACCAGCGCTTTTCAACATGTTCATCAATTATTTGGATTCAGGTAATAAAAGCGAACTAGCAAAGTTTGCTGATGACGCCAAACTATGGGGAGCGTGGTCACGCTTGAAGGCAGGCTGGCAATCCAGGCTAACCTGGACATGCTCACGAGGTGGGCAGACCTCAACCTGATGTTGTTTAATATGGAAAAATGTTACAACTGGGGAGAAATAATCCACAACGCTTACAGGCTCGGCAGTGCTACACTTTCTAGCACCACATCTAAACGAGACCTGGGTGTCGCGATGGACAATAAAATGAACATGAGCCACCAATGCAGTGCTATAGCTGGCAGAGCTAATCAAACACTGGCATACATCTACCGAGGCATCTTGAGCAAGGCCAGGGATGTCATTCTCCCACTCTGCTTGGCCTTGGTGAGACTGCTGCTGGAGTTCTGCGTTCAGTTTTGGGCACCACACTTCAGGAAGGGTGTGGAGAAGTCCCAAGGAGGGCCATGCGCATGATTAGAGGCCTTGAGACCAGGTCATATGAGGAGAGGCTGAAAGACTTGGAACTGTTCAGCCTGGAGAAGAGAAGACTCAGTGGGGACTTGGTGGCAACCTGCAAGTATATCAAAGGCGTACATCAGGGCCAGGGGAGGACAAGAAATAATGGGCACAAGCTGATTGAGGATCGCTTCAGGCTAGACTTAAGGAAAAAAAACTTTACAAATCAAGTACTGAGGGTTTGGAACATGCTCCCCACAGAGGTGGTAGTCACCCACCCTGGGGATCTTTAAAAATCATCTTGACACCCATCTTGCTGGGGGTCATTTGATCCCAGCAGTCTTTCCTGCCCAAGTGGAGGGGGACTGGGCCTGATGATCTGTAAGGTTCCTTCCAGCCCCTAGCATCTATGAAACTATGAAACAAATGTTGATAACTACACTAAACGTGTAGTATGAAAGTACTAAGGCACAATGTGTTTAGGGAATATGTTTCTCATTCTAGTCACCCAAGAGTCAGTCCAGAACCATAAGTGGCCCTACTACCAACAAATATCCTTCACCCCCTTCTGGGGCTTCAGATGTTTCTAAAGCCTTTGACAGGCATCCTACTTGCAGGCCCAAGCCCAGAGACTTGGGGTTTGGATGCCCCCGAGTTTTGCTTGTCCTCAGGTGTAAGGCTCCAGGGGCAAGCCAGGGAGGAGTCTCTCATTTCCATAAAGTGAGCATAAAGCTAAGACCTTCCCAGTCTAGCAGCAAAGTGGGAGGTTTACTATACATTACCTTGGCAGATATTATCCCCATGCCAGGAGAGCGGCCCTCCCTGGTGCAGCTAGGAAGACCGCCTCTGTGGTCACGGTGTTTCCCTTGCCAGGTAAGCATAGACTACGGTTGATCTGAGCCTTTGAGAGGCTGAGAAGTGATAAGAACAGGCACTACATTTGATCTGGGCCAAAACAGCTGCACAAATCTTTTATTACAGGATGGCAAACAGCTAACCCTAGTTACCAACTACAAGTGTCTGTTTGCTTTAGCAATCATTTTTTAAATGATGGTGACTCTATTGCCGCCCTACTGTCTCTTACTATTTTTTCCAGTCAAGTCACTCTTACTTCTGGTCTTGTCACGTGGGCTTCCCTGCCCATCCATTTCTTCTTACTGTTTACATTGGCCTTCTTTGATCTGTTTGTTCTGCATTAAGGTTGAGGTCTCCAGAACTTCCCAAAACACTATGGGTCTCGGGTGTTTCAAATGCAAACATACCTAGTTGTGTACCTACCTAGTCAGGCAAACAGTTACACAGGCCTGGATCCAAAGTCCACTGAAGTGGGTGCAAAGACATTTATTGCTCTGAATGGATCCTGCATCTGCAGCTACTTAACTTGTGTTCCTAACTTACAGCCACCCAATGATGAAAGTCAGGGGAATTTCCTGCCATTTTGCTTCTGCACCAAGGATAGATGCTGTATGCATGTACAGAAGTGTGTCACACTAGTGGTTAGAGCAGGGGTGGGCAAAATGCAGCCCACCAGGCCATTCTATCTGGCCTGTGGGGCCCTTAAAAAATTTAGAAAATTAATATTAATACGCTCTGGGCTGCCTGTCATGCAGCCCTCAATGGCTTGCTGAAACTCAGTAAGCAGCCCTCTGCCCAAAATAATCGTCTGCCCCTGAGTTAGAGTCACTCACAGGCAGCTGTTTGCCTCTCAGATGTGAGAAGGTGTTAAAACAGCAGTCCTTCAACTTGGAGCAGACATACATGCCCTCCATATGGTGGTGGCTGCCGTACACTTTCATGTGTACACACTTCAGCTCTTAAGGCTCATGACACATTCACAGGACCATTCAAGCGTACATATTTACATACAGCAATCTAGCTACAGGTATACAAAATCTGCTTGTTACTGAAGCTAAGAGGGCCAGGATACCTCCTGCCTTGCTATGCCATCTGGACAGAACCCTCTTCCTCCTTTTAGAATTACAATTTAATTAAAAGTTTTGCATTTTTACAGCTCCTCACATTTGAATCTCTCAAACCACTTTGCAACATGTAATAAGCTTCAACTCTTCCCTGCTGCTTTCTCCTTTGTAGGGGTAGGGCAGCATACCCCAGCAACCTGAAAAGAGGGAGTTGCATAACTACCAGGAAGCTGCTCTGCTCTCAGGATGCCCCTCTTTTTCCTTGTGAGATCCAGGTTGTGTTGCAGCCTGGTCACTATCTGCCTCCTCCCCAGTAAGGGAAAGCAGTGCACCCTGGCTACTTACAGGGTCAGGACTGCACAAACAGTATCTGCAGAGCTCTACTATTTTTTCATAAGTGTGTCCATCTCCCACTGCCCATGACTGTCAGCACATCACTCTTCCACATCAACATATCCACCTTCCTCCTTACATGTCTCCATTTCTTTGTCACCCTCAATCTTCCACCAGCGAGGCCTGCTCCTCCTCTCTGCATCCTGATCTTCCTGCTTCTCCCAACAGCTAAATCCTAAATTCACATTGTACCCACCTCACCTCTGGAGACATTTGCCCTAACTTTCTCCTCCTTCCATCCTCATGCTTCCACCTCTCCCATATCCTAGTGCAACCCTTTCTAACCTCACGTTCAATCAATCCCCTGCCTCTGGAGTGCCCAGGCCACTGATAGTGGATCTCAGATGTTCACAGCCCTGATATATCTCACTCCCTCTGGCTTCTGGCTCTCAGACCCGGATCATTTCATCTGACACTGCCTCTGCAGCTGCCTTCTTATGCTACCTCCAGTAGATCAGAGTCATGGAGAGAGCTGGGCTTCCCCCTTTCCATTCCTTTTCCTTCTTCCTGCCTCCCCCTTCTCTCTTTTGAGCCATATGTGCATCTAACATCTGTAGTGCCATTGTCTGCCACTCACCCACATCCTCTGCACTGTGCTCTCTGACTCCAACTCCTAGCTCCATCTCCCACCCTTCAGAATCTCTCAAAGGTATCCATTTTGGCTTCAGCTTTCCTGCTAGTAACCAGATGACCACTCAGTTGCAGGACTCCTCACACTTACTTCATCTGACCTGCCACCTGGGTTCAAGCCCTGCCACTTCACACCTTCTTGATCTTTAGCAAGCACTGCCACCTTC